CTCATCTTTTTAAGTGGGAGAACTTGCACAATTGGTGGCTGACTAAATACTTTTTTGCCCCACTGTATCATGCCCAATCTGAACCTGTGTTCTGGACTCCATTATCTCGTACCTATCCAGCTGTAAGTTGCATTGTGGACTGTCTTAATTTTCTCTGCCTCTGAATGGTTGTGACTCTCCCTGACTCGTCTCTATGTAACTTTCCACTGATGTCTTCCCACTAGTATAAATGTTTACTTCAGCCTTTTAAACTTATAATCTAAAGTATAGCTGGACTGCAGAATTCTTGATTTAATAACAAGGATGGAGAATGAGTGTTGGACAAATGTGCTGTGATTTTAAATGAAAGCTGTTAAATACCAGCTTTGTACCAGTAGTTGCTTACAATTTCTACAGAGTTTGGAAGCAACTTGCTACATGAATTATCAAACTGGAAGGAAAGTTTTGGAACAATGGCCAATAGGAATGTAAGCTGTCATGCATACATTATGGTCCAGCCAATCCATAGTGCTGATAGTTTGCCTTATGTTCTCAGTGTGAAGTACAGTAAGTTAAGAATTTCAGATCATTTATTCAATTAAGAAGATAATTACTATATTATAACCCGATAATATAGAGTTAATGTGTGAAACTCAAAACCACATTTATCCTTTGTGTGTTAATTGCATCTTGTGTGCATGTCAGTATACTGCATGTACCTCCTAGTTGTCTTGGCTGTGGCTCTTCCTCCTGTCTCACAGGGTTATTCTCACAGCCCATTATACTAGATGGTTCTTTATTCTCAGAAAAAGCTGATGGCAGAAAAATGGAAATTCTAAATACATTGAACCACTAAATATACCTAGGAGTGCTTGGAGGTGAAGTTCAGCAACATCATGTCTGGACAAGTTTTTAATTCCTGAATTAAATATTGGACATGGCTCTAATATCTTCAAGGTTGTCATTTTATAGCTGCTTATTTAGGCATAAGCCTTTTTGAACATTAAAAACGAAATTATTTTCAAGTTGATGTATACATAACTGCACTTTGAAGCATACGTACTAGGATTAATGCGGCATTTTTATTCACAGGATATTGATAGAAAAACACCAATTTATTAAGATTTTGTTGATTTTCCAAGAAAGAGGAGAAAATGATATCTCTCTATATATTGTGCATACATTCACATTGTATATGTGTAATATATTTGAGATGTGTAATTCTTTTATGTTTACTTGTTCTTTAGAGAATTTCTTGGAAAGAATGTGACTGAGCCAACAAAGAAAAGGTGAAAAATAAGTATTTTGGTTTATGTTTTCTGTTTTCCATATTGCAACTTGGAGCTTAACTATCAGAAATTTTAAATGAGCAAAATAAATAATATTTAACTTTAATAAATATATTGTAAAGACAAGGGAATATTTTAGGAAAATCTATAAATTTTCTCTAATGTCCAGTAATAAATGTCTTATATATTACCAGCATGGACATTCTGTGTTAGACTCTGACTATTATTTATTTATTTTATTTATTTATTGTATTTATATAGCCGCCCATCTTACACAAAGTGACTCTGGATGTAAGACCTAAGATGTCTTAGAGAGCAGTACATATGTTATTCTCAGTACATAATGTAATAGAATAAAGTTAATGTGCAGGGTCAAGAAATGCTCCATCTTAATAGAAGGAAAAAGGTAGGTAGGTATAGACCCCATACCTACCTACCTACCTACATACATGTTAGTACTTAAATGGCCGGCATTTTACAAAACCACCAAATTCAATAAAATGCCAGATTTAGAATATTGATCTTTTTATCAGATCCTGGGGACAAGATTTTGCCCTTATTTATTTATTTATTTATTTATTGCACAATATCATAGAATGGCATCTTCATTAAGAAGTGAAGAATGTTGTATTAGTATGTAAATGAATAGCATGTTCATAAAAACATGTGCTTTCTACATTTGCCTGTGTTCATTGGTTTGTCCCAAATGAAGAGGTTGTAAACAGCTTCCCAGTTCATCCCTAATTTCAATATTTGATTGAACTGAGTGATATACTTAAGCTGTATATGACAAGGTGTGTTGCATTTCTCTTACTTGAGAAATCTTTTTTTTAAATGATACCATATTTACAAAGTTGACATGCGTCTGAATATTAATGAGTTGCTGAAGAAAAAAGTATGCCAGAACAATATACTAGCTTTTCAGATTCTGTTTGAGCAAACATCTGTCATACATAAATAACCAGCCATGCAGTTTTAATCCTAAAAGTAAGTCTGCCTTTGATCCTCTCTTGATCCTAGTGAGAAGCAACTGGAGTGTTTATTGACGCACTGCATCAAAGTGCCAATGCTTGTCTTGGACCCTGCTTTGCCGAACAACATTACTCTTAAGGACCTGCCATCTGTTTATCCTCTGTTGCGATCTGCCAACAATATATTCTCTGTTGCAAAGCCAAAAAATCCTTCCACCAATGTGACGGTAGTTGTTTTTGACACTGCTAAAGAAGGTACAGATCTGCTTTCATGTGCTATTGCTTGAATATGTATGGTTTCAATTTACCACTGGGTTGTTATCATTGGTTTACTATTTTTTCAGAACCTTCTGTAAAGAATTCCACCCCTCCTACCCCTGCTGCCATGATTTAAGGAAATCATTGGATAAACTTAGTAGCAGAAAACAATGTGTCCTAAAAATAATCTTTTTGATCTAATTCTGTATGCAGATACACAGATAGATAGATGTACATACTGTCTGTCTGTCTATCATACTCACCTATTTATATACATATATGTAGCAAGAGAAGTTTGCATTTTGTAGAGAAAAATAATATGGAAAAGTATGAAGTGATGTTGCTTTAATAAAAATATCTTATTTGGATACAATCCCTCTATGATTTGGTCATCTTTGTGTAACTTTATTGTTACTGTTACTTAAAATTCAAACAAGAGACCGAGGGAATGCACAAAACGTGGGGGGGGGGTCATGTGCGTGTTCTAAATCCACCCCCCTATAGCTGGAATGAAGTAAGATTAGTCTTCCTCAATCTGGTGTGTTCCAGACTTTTGACATCTACCATTTCCTGTATTCCCACCCAGTGTGGACAAATATATCAAATGGAGGAGAGACCGAGGCACTGAGTATTATCTCTGGTTCAAAATCAGATTCTTTTCCTAGCTCCTTATGAAATGCCATTTCCCAATAGGGTCTTTTCACATGGAGATTTGAGTTATCTTTTCTTGCTTCCTGTCCTTCCCCATCTATAACCTAAATGCTATTCTACTAAATTTCCAAATAAAGCCTATCTCATTTTAAATGAATGTATACATATACTTAGCCTATTTGCATGCTCAGTCTTGAACATATTTGGCAATACTTTTATTTATTTCTCGATTTCTCAATCATAGTTACAACCTGCTTGTTTCTGGTAAAACTAAGCCACAGCAGATTGGAATAGAATAGAATAGAATAGGAATAGGAATAGGAATAGGAATAGGAATAGGAATAGGAATAGGAATAGGAATAGGAATACAATACAATACAATACAATACAATACAATACAATACAATACAATACAATACAATACAATACAATACAATACAATACAATACAATACAATACTTCATCAATAGTTACAGTAATTGCAAAAATATAATTAAAGCCACAAAGCCTGATAAAAAATTGACATATAACAACAGTACCAAGGTAGTACAGCTTTACTTATCTTGGAATATTCAAATTCAAAAACCATTTCAAGAGTCAAATTCTCAACAGAGAAATAAAATGCTTGCTGTCATCATCTTAACTCAGTTTTCTCTTTAGTTCAGGAATGGAGGACAGCCAGTTTGGTGTAGTGGTTAAGGTACCAGGCTAGAAACCGGGAGTTTGTGAGTGCTAGTCCCGCTTTAGGCACGAAGCCAGCTGGGTGACCTTGGGCCTGTCACTCTCTCTCAGCCCTAGGAAGGAGTCAATGGCAAACCACTTCTGAAAAATCTTGCCAAGAAAACTGCAGGGGCTAGTCTGTATTGTCACCAAAAACTGACTTGAAGACAGTCCCCCCCCCAAAAAGGAATGGGTAGCTCTGGCCTTCATGCCTAATCTTAATGAAAGAAGGCACACACTGGACAAACTGCTTTTGTTCATGCAGGATTACCCGGGAAGAAATGGTTCTCTGTGTTCATCTTCAAGACAGAGAAATGTATATCAGGACACGCAGCTTAATGAAATTGTGCCATCTCCATTCTGCCATGCTTTAAAACATGCCCCTGGAAAAGATAGGTGTAGTCTTAGTTTTGACTTTAAAAGCTCTGCAATCTATGAAAGTGGTGACTTGGGATTTGAATTCCTTATTCTTTTAGCGGAAGATGCCCATTCCCTGATGTTGAAGGAGAGTATCAAGCAAACAGCATGGAGGGGATATTTGGTATGTTCCCGAACATTTACTGCAAAGTTAGTGTATATGCTTGTAATAAAGTGTGACTTGCAACCTAATGTTTTGTTAACAATCAAGCCACTGGTTTTAAACATCTCTTGTTGTAATGTTTCTTGATACTTGTAAATGAAAAGTTTAAATCATCTCAATATAATATTTAAATGTGCTTGAACAAGGCCCCAAATATTGTAGAGCTCACCTCTGGGAACAAAATAAAAACAGTCTTAAATAAAACAAGGTGGGAAAAACCTACAGAGCATGGCTCTGAAATTCTTTTCCATCGGTTTACCAACCGTGGCCATAGGGGAGGTCTGTATTCTTTTCTGTTACATGTTGTACCTTTGTATATGCATGTGTATGTATTTCTGCTCTCTTTCATGTTGTATGTGCATGCGTGTGCACACTGGGAAACATAGGGAAAGTGGTGTTGGCTCCCTCTGAATCACACGAGAGATGGGAGGGGAGTTAGAGTGGAGCCATTGCTATGTTATGAGGTGCTACCCAATAGCCTTTTCCCATAGGGATGCATTGGGAAAATGTAAGGAATTGCTCATCTGCAGCCCTGAGTTGGATCTGGTCCATTTTTGAATCTAGCCTTTCTTTTGCTAGTTGCTCCCCACACCCCAAATTTGGTCCCATTCGATTCAGTTTTTGAAGAGTTATTGTGCTGATGGACAGATAGATAGAATTCTAAAGTCCTTTATATAATTTCTTTCTCAGATGTTTTTTGGATTGGAAGGAATAAAACATGGTGAAAATTTTATTTTCTTTCAGACTACTGATAAGGAAGTTCCAGGTTTAGTGATAATGCAAGACTTGGTTTTCCTGAAAGGATTTCCACTTACTTTCAAAGAGACAAATCAGCTAAGAACGAAGCTGCCAGAAATCCTTGTTTCCAAAATAAAGCAGGTAAGATAGTTGGAGTCTGAGGAGCAATACCAACTGCCAATTCAATAAAACCTCACAATTATAAATAATAGAATATGCCCTTTTATTAATAAAAATAAATACCATTTTTATTTTTCCATTCTTCTCTCTCAAGATTATTTTATCCAGTTTTAAAGTAAGTGTACTCATACAATCAAAACTTTGAAATTTGAAGATGTGGAGATCCATAAAGCTACCTTACACTACCATGAGTGCCCTGATGCACCAATTCATTGGAAAAATGTGGTAATATAATTAAGAAACTGCAGAATAACACGAGCCCAGTACTGACTCATTTACTCGTGTATTTTTAACATTTATATGGCCGCCTATATTATATTAAATAACCCTAGCCAGCTGACAGACACACAAACACAAGATTAAAACTCTTAATACATCAGCAATACCATAACAGTCCCTCCCAAGAAAACACACACACAAAAGGCTGACTCCCACCCTAATCCAACACCTGAGGGAAGAGCCAGGTCTTAGCAGCCTTCCAGAAGGCAAGAAGGGTTGGGGCCCTCCTGATCTCAGGGGGAAGGCTATTCCATAGGGGAGGTGCAGCTATGGCAAAGGCCTGCTTCCAGGGTTCCATCAGGTGACAACATTTAATAGAGGGGATCTGAAGTGAGCCCACCTTATCCAATCCAGAGGGATGGGTAAATGTCCTCAGGGAAAGGTGATCTCACACATAACCTGGTCCCGTGCCATACAGGGCTTTAAAGGTGATAACCAGCATCTTGAATTGCATCCAGAAAGAAATTGGGAGCCATCATAGCTTACACAGCAGCTGTGTAACACACACAAAAAGTAAGATGCCCAAAACTCTGTATGCCACTGTATTCGGGACCAGTTGAAGTTTCTGGGTGGTCTAAAGGGCAGCCCCAAGTAGAGCACATTGTAGTAGTCCAAATGAGAAGTGCCTAGGGCATGAGTGACCATTAGCCAGGCTTCCAGGTCCAGAAGCAGGTGCAATTGCACAAGAAAATCAGATTTCCTTACTAGTCAACACTCAAAACTGTCACTCACTAAATTCTAAGTGCAGTTGACCATGTGTTCTAGGGGGACATCTTATCCCTTGACAGATTCTAATGCCTTGGTTATAACTTTTACTGAACACCTCTTGGAATGTGCTCTCTACTGGCCACCAAATTCAGCTACTGAGATCTGATTCAGCACTTTGAAAGGAGGAAAGAGAAGGCTGGAACCTACTGGGTGCCATAGCGGCAGAGAGAAGATGATGTGAGGGATGGAGTGTGGCATCATTGGTGATGTGCATGGAGTGCTACTGTCTGTGCTCATCTGTGGCTTCAGGGAAGATGCCAAAAGCTGAAGTTGACTGGATCATCCATTTCACTAGAGCAGGGTTCAGTTCTGGGAGTTGAAGCCCACCCGTCTTAAAGTTGCCAAGGTTGAGGAACCTTGCACTACAGGGCGCACCAGCCACTTAATTTAGTACACTACTTCATCTCCTTTTCCTGTTCTGGTGCTTATAGAGAGACGGAGAGAGTATTTATTCTTTTGCAGACAGGGAGTCTGCCTGTTTACACAAAACCGTTTGGTTTGGATTTCTTCAAATGTATTCTTCTTTCCCTAGGACAGCTGCAAATTGGTCTGAGACAGTTCATGTTGACTGATCTAGAGGTTGGCTGAATGCCTATGTAGATGTTTCCATGAATTCCAAGCTTTTAACCACTACTGGTTATTTAAACGAAAGATGTAATTAAATGTTTATCAGAATTGGGAGAAGGGATGTCAGCTGGTTCTACTGCCCTTCTTGAGACAAACAATCTATTGTATTTATTTCACAGTGGTCCCAAGGAATAACTTTTTATAGATGTTTACATCTGATCACTAGGGGTCACTGTAGCCTTATCAGACACATTTGAATACTTAGTCCAAGATTTTTTTAAAGGTACCTATGAATAAATATTCCAGACTTGTACCCTTTGAAGCCAGGAAGAATAAAGAAGTATGAAGCTTGAATTTTAAATGGGTTTTGCTACAACTGTAAATGAGTACCTGGCATCAGCCAAACTGGAAAGGCACATTCCTCCAGTTCTGGATATACTGTAATTTAAAGAACTTATACCCAGGGTATCAAGAAGCAAAGTTTGTACAAGGTCTCTGAGCTGTGGTTTAGCAGCAATTTCTATAGCTGCCTTTTATCTTCGTTTGTTATAAATTAGCCTCTGGAAAAGACTTTTAGTACTTTATAAAAAAAATAATTAAAAGCTGAATGTTTGATTCTAATTAAATAGAGCTAAATTTGGCCTCTCCAGCATTTCCCCATCTTTTCAGATGTTTTGGGCCGTAATACTCACCAACCCCAGCCTGCATAAACTGTATTCATAACAGTCAAGGAACCAGTGTTGTTGGTTTAGCTGCAAAAACGTCCTCCTTGGATACTGTGCCAACCTCCTTCGTTTTTGGACCACTTTACAGTGGCATGCAGCTCTTAACAGCTCCAAGATAATCCCAATTTCTAAGGGATTATGACCTGTAACAAAGAAAGTTTAGCTGCCTCTGTGTAGGTCAGATTCATAGAGGATACCACTACCTTTTTTGAGAAGAAACAAATTGGGAGGACCATCCAAATGCATAAGGTAGGAGTTCCTAAACCTTTTGCCCTCACACCTCCCTTTAGTGTAATCTTAATGTACACACCACCCCTAAAAATCCAAACACCAAAATGAACACAAATGAACAATGAAAACAATACAGTGAAACTTTGGGAAAGGTAGATTTATTGTCACAATGTAACTAAAAAATTCTTCACACCTCCCCTGGACTCTGTCTGCATCTCCCCAAGGAAGGTACAACTCACAGTTTGGGAAACCTTTGCATAAGGAATATTTTCCTGTGCCTAAACCTTACAAGCTGAGTGCTTCTTCAGGCAAACTCTTATGCACAATTTCACTCCGGTTGCTTGCTTGTCATTGCTTTCAACATTTTTTAAGCTGTATATTTTTTAAAAACTTGTCTTTCAAAGCATACTGCTTTCTTCAGGATGTTGACAAGATCCAGAAACATACAGTAAATGTGATTTCAACAATTAAAACCATCCCTTTAAAAAAGGGCAGTTGTGGTCAGACCAGTTTTCCCCCAAGTATATCCCTGGATTCAACCAAACTGAGATGGAAAAAAACATTGGGGCTTTTTGGAGGCAGGAGGGGTGAATTCATATATATCTTTTGAACAAAGATATGGGGCTACTGCTTAGAAATCCCGTCCCTGTGTTTTCTAATACAAAAGCTGCCAGTTGCAACAGCTATGAAGAGACTTGTGTACAAATTACACGTTATATTAAAGACATACTGTATAGTTCCATATATGATTTATTGGAACATTTTTCAAATAAATATTCAGAGGATTGATCCAGATTAGAAATCAATGCACAGAGAACAGAGTTTTAATCCTTACCTCTCTACTGCCACAATTCTAATCCTCATGTACAGTTAGACAAGCATAATTGGGCTAATGGTGGAGGAACAGGATAGTTTAAGACAACTTTCCTCATATGCTGCCATTCTGATTTATTTCCAGACTCTGCATGCTTATATTTAAATATAAATAAAGTACATATATCATGAATGCATGATATATAAAAGTACATGCATGATATTATACATGCACATATTTAGCAGAATATGTAACTTGGTCCTAAAATTTAAAATTATTGTGTCTGCATCTTTCTTTCCTTCTGTTTCCTATGTTCTATTTCTTCTTCTTTATTTCCTGTATTTCCTGAAATCCATTTAAGTCTAATTGCAGACTTGTGGCATATACTTTAATTGGTCATTATGAGAAAAAGAAATGTAATTAGTTGTGCTTGAATTTGTTGCCAATCAACTTTGTTAAACAAAAGTCAATCTTAATTGACTATAATTGTGAACTTGGGGCTTAGTTTGGGTGTATAGGACAGTTCTCTCATTATATTGCTTTTCCTGGTCTGTTACCCTCCAGATGTATTGAATTACAGCATTCAGAAGTCCCAACTAGGAATTTGGAAAGTTGTCATGTAACATACCTAGATATTCAGATGGTTTGCAGACTGTATCCCCTTAAAGGTCATCCACAAATCCCAAAATTAAATAATAATTAATTCCATTTTAAAAATTGAAGTAGCAAAGAACTCACGAGATTACCAAGTACTGTGAAATTTGGCATTCTCCCAAGAGATTGGACATTTAAAAAAATAGTGCCTGCTTTAGAGAACTATCTCTAAAATCTTGTCAATTCCCAGTGGTTCCCTGGTCTTGAACTGGGAATCACTGCCAAATATGAATTTCCTTGATAATTAGGAAGGTGAGATGCTGGGAAACAGCTAAGTTAATGCAATCTTCCCACATGGAATGGAACTTCTGAACACTGCATAAATATATGTGAGATGATGGACTGCAGAGAAGACAGTGTGACATTGTTGAGCTTGTAAAGAAATACAAGGTGCTTGATGGCAGTTTTGCAATCTGTAGCATTGCCACAGCATTATTTTTGGAGAGTGTCTCCATAACTCACCTCGGTCTTAATTTGAAGGAGGCTATCCTTTCATCAGATGGTTTAGATGATGCTCTGGAAAGATTGAGATTTATCAGATTTTTCTAATGGCAGACATCATGAGTCACATTTGGAGCTATCAGGTAGCAAGAGAATGCAAACCATCAACAACCTTAAAATGTCATAAGTGACAGCTGGTCTTACATTGATTGAACAAGCAGGTAAACTAGACAAATGTATGAAAGAGGGGAAAGGTCAGTTATAATAATTCTGGTTCAGAGCTAAATTACCTTGGGATTCATGACAGTTGAATAAGCAGGCAAGGCAGGTATATTGTACAATACCATTTTGCTGTTTTGCCAGCATTGTCTGGGTTTCTAAGGAAGTTAAAATGGGGTATTTAATAAAGTTCTTAGTCCAGTTTCAGATAGACACTCTTCACCTAAGAAGCTATGTTATTTAGGTTAGTTAGCACTGAAGGATTATACATACATGAGTTTGTTTTAATGTGTGGCATTTATTGCCTCCAACTGAGAAAACATACCTTTCTTCTATTTATCCAAATTGCTTGTTTTATAAATTTGCCTTAGTTTTGGTCAAAACATAATAGACTCACATGTAAATGCAATATCTGTGCACATCCCAATTGTGATTTTTTTCCAGTTTGAAAATTTTGTACATAAACAATAGAAAAGAAGCAACAGTTTTAAAAGCAAACGGATAGCAAGCTTCAAAACCTTTTTAATATGAATGAGATTCAATTTGCTATTCATCTTCATCCTGACCTTTTACAATGGATTTATACTGAGGCAGACTAGATCAACACTATTTCAGATGTTTTGGGAATCCAAAAAACAAATGGATAAAGTTTCAGTATATTGATTAAAGCAGTAAGAAGCTTGAAGTTTTATTTTGATGATCAGGGTCTATTATAATAAGTAATGCTTGAAAATGTAGATTTAAATATTAAAATGTCGATTTTAAATATTTATTCAAAACTATTAAAAACCAAGGATTTAATGGAAAAAGAATCAGGCTTTTTTCCTTTCAAAAGAAACTTCTAATATAATTAACAAAATGAGATACTTTCTGAGCATACAAGAGAAAAAAGTGTAATATTAATGATTGAATAAAATACCACTGCTAGTTTGCTATAGAATAGAACAAAATATATACAGTAAACACCTGGTTTTAATTTAAAAATTATTGTCATTTACTGTAGCTATGAAACTTTGAAAATTCAAGTGTTATTTTAAAGGAATGTTCAGACTGGAACAAAATCACAGTTGGGATATGAACAGATACTGCATTTACATAATTTGCCTATTACATTTTAAAGCAAAAATGAAAACATTTAAAAATAACAAGACAAGTATTATGGGGGAATCCAAACTTGAAAATAGCATGCTAATTTGGAGAACCTGGGAGGAGTGTGGAATATATACCTTAGATCAATTAATAGGATTAAATTAACTTTTCTATATATATGAAAATTTGGAACATCAGTATCATTTGCCAGAAAGTGAAGGGAGTTATATCTTCAGTAAACCTCTTAGGTCTGCATATAAATTGGCAGCCTTAAGCGATTCTGAACCCCCTGTAGTTCTAGAGGATTTAATATGTACAGCAACCTCAGTGGAAGACCATTTGGGAAAATAACTGTTCTATAGAATTAAAATTAGTATTATTACAACAAATAGTTTGGAAATTAACAAAAAGAAAACATGATTATAATAGCATTTTATTAGTTAGTTTTGCAATTATGGGAAGTTACCTGTTCTCAGTCAGTCATACTATAGATTCTTCAGGTCTGAAGAATCTGCCTATATTTGAGCAAGTATATTATCACCAGTTGCCCCAAATAGAATACTGTTAGAAATTTGAACTGCCTATGAAATCTCCCATTTCCTCACTATTAAATAAAATGACAGATGTTAATAGTTACACTGCATGATAGGGTATGAATATATATGTAAAGCTAGTTTTGATTAGCATATGAGAATTGTAACATTTTGTGTCTTTTGATTTTGATTTTTATATAAAATAATAGTAAGGAAGATTGTTGCAAAAAAGGGGCACAGGTGATTCGCTCATCTCTCCTTTACTGAGCTAACCAGAATAAAGACTGCTTATCTTACTTTGCTGGTATACCCCAAAACATGATGTCACTTGGAGCTTTCATGCCAACTGCCTCAACAATATTCAAGCATCCCTTTTCCCCTGTCCCATGCTGGCATTCTGAATGTGAATGGTGTTGACTTGGTTGAGTTTCACTGATGTCAACACACTGAAATCTGATTGTCTTTCTGGCTATCTCTCCGAGAGAGCCCTGTTTGCAGTACATAAGGAGAGATGCATCCATTGATTCCTAAAGTTAATGCAAAATACTGTATGTAGCATGAGTTGCAGATATAACTTGCATTTCTCCCCGGCTAGCCCTGCTTAGCATGCTCTAACCCTGCCATTGCGTTGATCTTTTGAGCAGAGCTCTACTTCAGCATCTTGTATAGTTGCATGAAAAAGCTTAGGTACTCCTGGTTAAATTGCATATGTCAATGAATCCCTAAGTGAACAGAAGCTGAAACTATCTCTACATGTTATAAAGTTAAATATGACTTTCTGCAAATTTGCATGCATATTTCACAGATTAAAATTAAGAAAGCATTGACTATGGCAGCTGCCAAAGATTGAGCAACCTTCCAACTCATCCTTACAGAACTCTTCTAGCTCAGAAACATTCTTAGATCATGTACTGCACATTTGAGATCTTTCCACAGATTTTCAATAATATTCAAATCTGAGGACCATGAAGGCCATTCCAAATTCTTCATCTTTCTTTTCTCTAAGTACTTCATGGTGGTTTTAGAGTTTTTGTTTTATCTGTTCGAGAGAAGGGGTTTCCTTTTGACAACTCTCCCATGCAGATCATTGTTGTGTGAACTACACTTCATTGTGCACCTGTGGAAAACTACTGCATTGCCAGCTAAACTTTTCATCTATGCGTTCTGTTTTGCAGATCAGTTTTGGAGCAACACTAGCAGGCACTTTTCTTAATCTGCAACACGTTTGCATAAAACTCTGCCTTTAATGCAGCTTTCCCAAGCTGGTACCCTTTAGATGTGCTGGATTTTAACTCTCAAACGGCTGTGCTGGCTAGATATGGTGGTTGAAGATCAATACATCTGAAGGCAACAACATGGGAAATACTGCTTAAGAACTGTTAAACCATTTAAGATGGGCAGATCAGAAATCGGGGCCAGGGAGGAGAGGAGAGGCTATGGAAACAGTGCAGGGTTATCCAAGAGGGTGGTATTTAATTCTGCGATCCAGCTTCACAAATGGAATAGTTTGCTATTTATGTGTTTGCTTGGTGGTGCTCTTACTTGCCCAAAATTAGCAGCAGATCATAAGGCTGTAATAACTCCGGCAATCTTTCTTACCTCATTTGATCGTATTGAGAAATGTGGCCAGGTTTTTGATTTCCACTTCTCCCAATAAATGTATCTAAAATGTGCTTTCTTTGAGGATAAAAACATCAATTTGCTCTTTTCATGCCACATTGCTGTCCTATGCGGTGCCTAATGTGAACTACTTGCCCTTTATGAAAGCTGATATCTAAAATAATTGGTGGCGAGTGATAAAAATAGCAAAGAGATCAAATGGTTCCCTAGTAGTGAATGACCTTAGCAGTGAGCTTGTAATACTGGCTGAGGATTTTGGGAAGATCAACAAATGGATTCGTTCTCCTTTTCTGTACCTCAGTTTTCTCAGTCCTTTAAGCCAGTGTTTCTCACCCTCAGCAACTTTAAGGTGCATGCTGGCTGGCAAATTCTGCGAGTTGAAGTCCACACATCTTAAAGTTGCTGAGGCTGAGAAACACTGCCTTAAGCTGAGTTCAAAATGCATTGGAGAATGCACAGTTAAACTGTTTGGAAGTTTTATTTCAGGGTATTGTGTAGTATCTCAACATGATAGTAAAAATGATGTTATTGTTTGGGAAACATGATGTAACAGGATCATAAAGTGTTTTTTTAATTAAAAAGTAGATCCAGATTTATAGATTCTAATGTAACCAGGAAGGAAGGAAACCAGTTGGTGTAAGATTTAACACATTTGATCTTCTCAGGCAGCTTAAAGAATCAGAAACAAATCCTGTTTTTGTACCTTTCCCCCCCCCCTTGCCTCGCCTCACTCCTGTTTGCCTTTCTGTATAAATTCTTTCCTTTGCCAAACCATAGTTTGTCATTTTTTATCTAACGACTGGGCTTATTAGTGCTTCCAAAATCAGGGCTGTGTATTGGTGTCAAATCTATGTCTTGTAACAGTTATAGTAGAAAGCTGTATGAGTCATGTAGAAGGGAAAAAATAAATGTAGTTTCATTCCAGGGCCTGAAAATGTTGCTTTTCCATGTAGTTGCAGCTTTATTCAGAAGCCAGCGTAGCGCTCTTGCAACTGATCGATCCCAAGATTTTCCAGGAGCTGAACAAGCAAGCAAAGAAGAATATGACCATAGAAGGGAAAGAGCTGACACTTAACCCTGCTTATTTATTGTGGGATCTCAGTGCCATCAGCCAGGTAGGCAAATTCTTTAATGTAAGAAAAAAAGAGTTTGGTCTAGTGCAGGGTTCCTCAACCTCAGCAACTTTAAGATGCATGGACTTCAACTCCCAGAATTCCCCAGCCAACCATGCTGGCTGGGGAATTCTGGGAATTGAAGTCCACCCATCTTAAAGCTGCTGAGGTTGAGGAACCCTAGTCTAGTGGTTAAGGCATCAGGGTAGAAACCAGGAGACTGTGAGTTCTAGTCCCGCCTTGGACATGAAAGCCGAGTGGGTGACTTTGGGCCAGTCACTCTCTCTCAGCCCAACTCACCTCACCGGGTGGTGGTTGTGGGGAAAACAAGATGAGAGAAGAGTATTAGGTATGTTCGCCACCTTGAATTATTTATAAAAATAATAAAGGCGGGATAAAAAATCTAAAAAAAAACCCCCAGAAAACAAATAGTTTGAAAATTTTCCAGGCTTAATGAGAACTACATTTTATAGTGCGATGTAAAGAATTAGAAACAGTGAATTGATAAATGTGTATCTGCAGTCTAGATATTTTATTTATTTATTTATTTATTTATTTATTTATTTAATCAAATTTATATGGCTGCCCATCTCACAAAAAGTGACTTTGGGCAGTGTACAACAGTTCAATAAAACAGTAAATATAGCAATTATTAAAAACATTAAAAATTATAAAAACAAACTAAAACAGAAAAGGAAAATAATAGGCAAAGGGTTCTAAATAATAGAGCCACCTCACTAGTTCACCTGTCCCCTGGGATCCCCAAGCCTGCTGACCTAACCAGATCTTGAGGGACCTTCGAAAACTCAGGAGTGATAAGGCCGATCTCATCTCTGGGATTCCATAGTTTGGACAACAGTTCTCATCATTTACAGCCAGATGGCTAGTGAGGATGGGATCTATAGTCCAACCATATGTATAGATGATACTCAGTTGAGGAAGTCACACAACTCTTCCAACAGTCTAAACAGGATGAAGATATTTCACCCAGCCGCTTTGAAGATAACGAAGAGTTGCGGTACTCATTGCGATCAATAGAGAGGCATGCCCCATGGGTGCGACACATCTTCATAGTCACAAATGGGCAGATTCCTTCCTGGCTCAATTTGGACAACCCTCGGGTTACTATAGTAACACATCAGGTAAGCATTTTTGGAAACCTCTACTTCCTTCTTGCACAAAGTAAAAAAAAAAAAAGATGTTTGCGACATTGATAAGTTGATTGAAGAAGACAAGGGCAGCATTCACAGCTCATGAAAAAATATGTTAGTACAGTCTTCCCTAATTTTGTGTCTTCCAAATAAGGGGGTGAGTTCCAGTTCTCACAAATCAGAGAACACCAAGTCGGAGAACCCTGGTTTATTGCAACATGAATGAGTAGGCATATACCATAGTAAACCATTCTTCCTTTTTTATGTTCCTCCCATGTGGAGCTCAGCAACGTTTGTTTCTATGTTTGCTTTACCACAGCTGGCAGTTTTGCCTGACCTGAAACTGTGGTTGAAGTTCACTATGGTCAGTTGAAAACAAACTAGCTTCAGTAATGCATGATAAGCTTGTTTTAAATTATCAGAAGATAAAAACTGATGGCGAACTTAAGTATGGAGGCATGAACAAGTGATTTGGTTCACACACAATTCTAATCCACCATAAGGGGTTTTGCTTTTGGTTTTCTGTGATGGGTGACTCTTCCCTTCAAATATTATGGTTTGCTATAAAACAGTCTTAGTGTGATGTGTCTAGGTTTGTGGAAGAGTCCTCCAAACCATGATTTCATTTCCTGGGCTAAAGGTAACTTGAAAGAACTGATGCAGCCTCTTCCATTTCGGCCTCCATTTGAGAATTTAGTCCTAAAGTGCACTGGTACGAGGATGATGATATTACAATATTATTATTTAAAAAGCAACTATTCTTGTAAGTGAGAGATGTTCAGGTATCTTCATGTTTTCATGCTATCATTGTATAGTACGTATGAAAGCAATTAAAGAGCTTCTCCAAACTTTTGGCAGTACGTTTTGAAACATGTTTTAAGATGGTATTATTTTCTAGTAAGGTATTTTTGTTTTTGCTTTACTACTCTAGGACATATTCCAGAATGTGAGTCATCTGCCTACATTTAGTTCCCCTGCCATTGAGAGCCATATTCATCGCATTAGAGGTCTGTCCCAGAAATTCATTTATTTAAATGACGATGTGATGTTTGGGAAGGATGTCTGGCCTGATGATTTCTATAGTCACTCCAAAGGTCAAAAGGTAAATTCACCACAAAACAATTTGATGCATAGGATTTGATAGCTCAAACAGCCTTTCTTATAGCCCAGCTTGACACTAATAATAGTGGCTATCCTATTTATCCATAGGAACTTGAGTTTGTAGCCCCTCCCCCCGTACTTACATGTGACATGAGCATGGTGGTGAAGAAACTGTTGAAAACTATGGGATGGGTGTGGATCAGAATGTGGATCTCTGTGAAGATTAGCACATGATTGGGTGGGGTTTCTTGCCTGATGAATGTGACCCAGTTTGCATCATCTAAGCAGAGGTCTCCTGTTTCTTTTCTTTCCTTAGTTGTCCTTCAGCTAATCTCCCACCAGTTTTGTTCCCCTCTTTTCTTTCCCTTCCCACTCTATCTGTCCCTTCCCCGTATCTGATTTCTGTTGCATTCTTTTTTGCTGTTTCTTCTAGATGGAGTAAGGAAAATGCGGGTGTCTATACTTTTGTGTACAGGAAAGGTTGGTGTGTGAAAGAGAATGGTTGTTATATACAGATAGGGGATCCATTATTTTTATGATTGATTGATTGATTATATGCCATGAAGTCCGTGTCAACTCTTAGCAAACATATAGATTTTCTCCAGCATGATTCTAGCAGAGAGAGAGATACACATACAAATATGCATATACAAGAATACTATGTACTCATATTTATTGGGGAGGGAGAAATACAGGTAGTCCTTAAGTTACAACAGCAGTTGGGACCGGAATTTCCATCGCTAAGCAATGCGGTCATAAAGTGCAATGTCACATGATCCCATCACTTAGCGACGACAATTCTGGCAGTCCCAGTTGCCGTCATAACCTCAGGACCATGTAAGCCATTAAACAGAAAGAGGCAGGAGTCCCAGGCAAGGAGTATGGGGGGTGCGTGAGTGCTGTGGGGAAATGCTGCAGGCAGGTGTTAGGGAGCACAGGCAGGCCAGCGGGGGGTTGCGGGTAGACACTAGGGAGCACAAGGGGACCAGTGGGCGAGCGCTAGGGAGCGCAGGCAGGCTGGTGGGGCCCACGGGCAGGCCAATGCGGGCTGCGGGCAGGCACTGTGGAGTGCAAATGGGGCAGTGCTGCAGGATCTCATACAACATAGTGGGGCTGTTCAGGAGAAAAAGTGATGTGAGTGACTTGCGACCTTCCCTGCTGGCTTCCCCCTTGACTTTGTTTGTGGGAAGCCTTCAGGGAAGGTCACAAATGGCAATGATATGACCCTGGGGACACTGTGACAGCTGCCACTTCACAGATTGGTTGTAAGTCCCCCTCATTCAGCACCATTGTAATTTTGAATGGTCACAGAATGAGTGGTAGTAACTCGAGGACTACCTGTATCCAGGACTGATTCAGCTACATCTGGTAACCCTAGGTTGACAAGGTAAGGAATTTTGACATTGCACAGGATTTTTGTCTGTGTTTATATACTTTTTTTCTCTCATCTCTTCAAGGGTGTGGGATCAACTTAAATTCAGGGTTAACTTCCTTTTGAGAAGTCTGACATTATTTTGTATTTCCTCTACTTGATTGATTGCTGTTTGTTAGGGACCCTTCTGTTGTATTCAGATGGTTGTGTAAATAATTAAAAAACAAACTTCTGTTGTACTGCTCTGGAATTCTTTCATTGAAGGGCAGGTAAGCAATAATTTTAGTATAAGTTCCAAAGATTACAAATCCCTAGAAATGAGAATATTTAAGACATTAGTTTAAATTTAAAACATGCATCTTAAAACAATTTATCTGTTTTGTATGCATTAAAGCAAAATACTCATAAGTTATTTCATGTGACTAAAAGATGGTTTAAATAAGATCTAGTTATAATTTGCTACCTAGAGTCTCTTTGTCCAGCTAGGTGATGGTTAATCACCTGGTTAATACATGGATGGGAGACCATCAGGAGATCAGGGCTGTAGATCTGTGAGAAACATCATAGAAACACCCTGGAAAAAAGCAATGGTAAACCATTTCTGTATTGTTCCCAGGAAAACATGAATATGGACATGAAATTCTTTAAGTCACGCTTGACTTAAAGAAACTTTTACATTTTTAGTTTGTATTTCCCAAAATAAAATATTCACACATTTGCAATTAGGATTGCAGTAATTTCCTATCTGCCTTTGCCAGTATTTTGATGGGCAAGCCTATGAGTTATACAGACATCTTTCAGTAGCAATATTATGGATAAACATTTTGTTTTTGGGCTTTTGAGCCAGAGCTTCCAATGTAGTAAAAGGACTTTTCCTAAGTCCTTCAATATTTATAATGTTCTTGTCAATCAAATATTGGTAAAATAATCATTATCACCTGAGGAGACAGTGATAGCAATGCTTGGTGGTACAAAAAATGGTTCATACTGCATTATCACATACCAGCATCAAAGCTCCATCTAATATTCATCGACCCCCTGGCAGATTAAGGCTACCCAAATTCTGTGGCTAAACAAGGAAAAATAAAGGTGTTTGTCTTAATAAGTATTGCCTACAACACCACTCCGGTATTAGCATGGCATAACTGAAAACATTTTGTAAATAGTGAAGGTTAGCATCATTTTTTTTTCTATAGGAGACTAAAATATTATTCTGAGAATTTGGAATCTGGCGTTTGCGTTTTTTTCTTTTTCTTTTGCTGTCACATAAAGGAACAACAGGAAAATATTTGTCCATATATAAATCAAGGTTAACGTTATATTCTTGGCATATGCAGATGGGTTTGCTGTACAGAGGTGAGTTTAAAGGAACGTTTTGAAAAGCCATGAATGTGAAAACAACATGTTTTTATGACCGTTATTAGGTTTATTTGACTTGGCCTGTGCCCAACTGTGCTGAAGGATGTCCTGGTTCATGGATTAAAGATGGTTATTGTGATAAAGCCTGTAACAATTCTGCTTGTGACTGGGATGGAGGTGATTGTATTGGTAAGGAGAAATACATCTTAAAACCTGGCCTTTCACATTTCAGGGACCAATTATTATATGGGTGACATGTTTATGTTTTAGGATGCCACAGATGCATCTTCATCAGGCTGTCCTGAGCCCTTCAAAGGGCCATTTGCATTCACAAAGCATTTCAGTCCAATGCTCCACATTCAGTGGCAAGCATTACCCCTCAACTGCATCTGTGCAGCCAAAGAAGCACTTCCCCTATAGCCACACTACTCTGATATGGAATCATTTGCACAGGGAAAAGAAAAGACCTGGGTGTGTTGCATTGATTTTGCTGCAAGCACAGAGTAGTTGCTACTCAACCTTTCCTTTGATTTTAACATCCCCACCATTTGGATGGACATGGTTGGGCTTGTTTGATAGGCAGTGAAGATGACACCTACAGTGTCTCATTCTTTTCATATCCTAGTGTTAATATCTAAACTAGCTGCTTACCATAATTTGTTGGCAGTTCCTTCATGGTGGTGATCCACTCAGTGAAAAGGCCAGAACATCTGAAGTGGCTGAGATGAATTAGCAGAATAGTGTCTGTTCAGTCCCACTTATTTCCCTCTTCCCCTTGCCCCATGCTGGATGTATTAAAAGGTAGAACAACTCTGTTTATGTTACACCTGATCTTCATTTCTAGTAGCCAGGCAAGAAAAATTAAATTCTAAAATAGCAATATCCTTGGTACAGTTTATACTCTCCCACCCCCAATATTCTGAAAGCTTTAGGAAAGGTTTGTTTTCTAAGTAAAGCTCCTTTTTACTTTTAAATATATAAGAGCACTTCATGATTTAAAAACAATGCTACAATTAGACTTTTTAACCACCCCTTTTCTCCTTTAGTTAAGATTTTCCACAGTGGCAATATGAGGCACCACCGTCTTTTTTCTCTTTTTTAGGTAACGGTGCGGGTAACCGTTATGGTGCAGGTGGTGGAGCTGTTGCAGGCATAGGGAACATCCCATCCTGGCAATTTGGTGCAGGAATCAATGGCGTTTCTTACTGCAACCAAGGCTGTGCAAATTCATGGCTGGCTGACAAATTCTGTGATCAGGCATGCAACGTTCTCTCTTGTGGATTTGATGCTGGTGATTGTGGACAAGGTATGTCAATACGTATTTAGCAATACAGTCTTTGGGGACGAACTATCTGTCACTTTAGGTATATAACCTGGCCCAATTCTTCAGACTAGATAGATGAAAACAGTTTGTTCGATGCCATTGTACTGTGGCCACATTTGTTTGAAAGACTCATGTGATAAACCAATGTCACATGAATGTTAATCCAGCAAAAGACATGTTAAGGGTATGTTAATGTGTTGGGGAAAAAAAGGAAAAAATAGGAAACTTAAATGTCCCTGTCCATATATACAGTGATACCTCGGGATACGAACGCCTCTGCTTGCGAATTTTTCGGGTTACGACCAGCTCCGGCCCCAAAAATTTACCTCGGTTTGCGACCTCCGCCTCGGGGTACGAACCGGATTGGCGGCCATTTTCCACCGTGACACGTGGTCCGTGGCCATTTTCCGCCCGTGCCACATGTTCCGCAGCCATTTTCTGCCCGTGCCACGTGGTCCGCGGCCATTTTTCCGCCCGTGCCACGTGGTCCGCAGCCATTTTCTGCCCGTGCCACGTGGTCCGCGGCCATTTTTCCGCCCGTGCCACGT